TGGATTTTACACAATGATTACGTATAATAATAACGAAAAATTCCTCATGCTTAATTGTTTGGTACATTTACATGGAAAATAATCATAGAATTTTCGCAGACTTCTACCTTTACAAATTCCTTGCAGATAAGGTATTTGGGAGAAAAGTATTCGAATATTTTGCAAAAAAATTTGGGGGGGGGGGGGGTTCCATCAAATACTGTTAAATATATAATAATGGACAGTGACAAGTGATTTTTTAACATATTTATTATTCCTAAGAATATTTTTTTTTAAGTGTACTCTACTGTATTCCATATTACTCCAAAGAAACTCACATTTAGGGTTGGAATGTTTTGATGAGTTCTTTTTACTAGTTAAACCTTAAATCCCTTTCCAATTAATCTAAAATTTTCCCTGTTTCTGTATCGAAAACAACGTTCAAATTATTGTTACAAATGAATGGATGGATTAGAAACAAGTCCTTCCAACTTTTTTCTTCCTCCTCTTTTCCAAATAATTTAGATCTTTTATATGTTAAAATACTTGCAATATCAGGATCTAAGAATTTCGCAATGAAAGTCTCTTTCAATTTAAACAAAACTTTTTTTGCAATTAAATTTATATCCAGTTATAGAATTAGCTCTTCAGTTTAGAAACATTCGTTTCAAGATCATTTCAGGTATTTTGTCAATTATTTTTTACTGACTGCCCCCTTCCCAACTTTGAAAAACGATACCACGAGCCTGGACACACATGTCAAAGATCAGCTTAATATCAGCAGGCCTGTAGGAAAAATCCGGAAAAGAAAGTTAGACTATCGGCATTTCAAGCATGTCGTATATTGTTTATGATGATCAATACTTAACTAAGAGCGAAAATGTGTTAAAGGGATACAAACAGAATTGTTACTTTTTTAATATGATCATAGGAACCAGATAGAATGAAAATATTCCAAGACAGTCACATAGATTATTATACTTCCGCTTGAAAAGTGGGGATATATAGTGATGGGGGTGTCCGGCCGTCCGTCTGCACGTCAGTCTATTACGCTTTGGGGTACACATCTCTTATCCGCAACTCCTCTTATACCACTCAATAAAATTTAATGATACTTTCGCAGAATCTTTGTTACATATTGCCATTGTGCACCTCCTATTTCATTTTTTGATCGGACACATATTTCGGGTTTCCAATAGCAAAACATAGACACTGCCATTCTTTCCAGAATATTTAGGGGCACAAATCTCTTATCCGCAACTCCTCTTATACACCTGGATAAATTAAAGATATAATGATACTTTCACAGAATCTTTTTTACATAGTGCCATTGCGCACCTCCTATTTCACTTTTGATCAGACACATATTTCGGGTCTCCCCGTAGAAAAACATGGACTTTGCCATTATAAACATATGATAGGCGGGGTATCATTTTGTGAGCTCAGTGCTCACATTACCTCTAGATTTTACTACATGTATCTATATAATTCAATCAGTTAAACACAAGGTTACCATAAAGACGGCAATGTAAAATCAAGTTCCAAATGCTTTTAATTGTCTTACATTAATTAGGATGTTTCTTCTATTAATACTAGTTTTTATTCAAAGTCACATATTCATTTATGCATAATCGATCAAGGTAATTTTTCCGCCCTACGACGTTACCTTACAGAAAATGACGTTCTACTAGCATTTTTCTTTTAAAACACCACCATACTTCAAACTTTCTTTTTCAAAAAATATAATCGATATCGAAAAAAGAAAAACGACAAAGCAAAGCTAAAGGTCTTCACTATCAATTGACAAAAAACTGTTAATTTTTTAGACAGGGCCATTTTTGATGGTTCGTGGCTCTTTCTCTTTAGATTCTTCAGGACAACAAAACTATTCAAATGCCCTCGGGTGACAACCCTACTCAGATCAAATAATTTGTGATGTCTCCCTTCTACACAATCAATAATTGTATATTGTTGAGTAGTTTAGTTCTTCGGGTAAGGCTCTAGTATCGACTTAATTATCAAAACCCCCTGTCACCCAAATCAGTTTACGTTCAAGACTATCAAATTATGTGTATCGCTTCGAGAAATAAATCAAAAGTACATAAGGTTTTTATATAGTATTCATTTCATAGTTCTTCTATACCAGGTACATAAGCTCAATCTTCAGGTTATGTTTATTATATAGAGGATATTCAATGTTTTGTAGATGAATATGGAATTTATTTCACGAGTGGGACAGGATTTTTTTTTTTATATTTTCACGAGTGCAAAGCACGAGTGAAAATATCAAAAAATCCTGTCTCACGAGTGAAATAAATTCCATATTCATCTACAAAACATTGAATTTTCTGTTTATTACATTTTCTTTTATTTTCCCTTTGCCTCTGTCTTTTCTTAACACAGTGTCATAGGCTTGACGTCATAGTTGAGCAGTTGAGACGTCATAGCTTAGAAGTTGTGTGACTGAAAACATTACACAGCATGGATTTTAGCAACACATTTGGGAAGAAATTTGCAGTTTTAGCTCTATAAAGATGCTTAGTTACTATCTCTATCTTATGACAGGCCAGAAATTATTTTTTACTTACTTTGATATCCTTTCACACTGTGAGAGAATATAATTTTTGGTATCCTTTCACACTGTGAGAGAATATCACTTTTATTCAATAAATAAATCACAGTATTTCACTGTTGAAAATGTAATAAATGTTGATTATTCATCGAATTTTAATAGTCCTCCAAATAAAGAAAACTGTAACACAATTCTACTTTTATAATTTTTGAAATTTAAAGAAGCTATAAAATATATTGCACATTTATAAAACACTGGGGATTTTTTTTTTTTAATACAAGAGTACTAATTATTTTGGGGATAAAGATAAGTTTCTTCTTTATTCCTGTTATTTTATTTTTTTTTTACTCTTTTATGCTAAAAAAATATACAGTTTTACAATTCAATATCATATAATAAACAGTTTATAATACAAATGCACCCAGTATATTTATACCCTGTTGGATGACTATTCACATTTTTTTCTACTTCCTCTCTTTTCGATTTCTTCGTTGCATAAACAGTTAATAGCAATGGCAAAGGTAGAATGTTGAAGTGCGCCCATGATAGATTAAGAAATTTGAATGTTTTACACAGTGTTTGCACAAACCCCCTGAAGTACAGCATTTAAAATAGCTTAAGGATTTAAAGTTTATACCCCATGGATGCTCTGCAGGTCTTATATACACATGACAAAAATGGTTCCCAGAGTGCAAATTGAATTCGATGGAAATTCGTTAATTAAAAAAAAAAATGCAATAAGACTTTTCTTTGAATTCATGCTTTGTAAATGTTTGCAATTATTCTACGTCGCACAAAAACAAAACATTCGCTTTTCACTGTGTAAGAAATAAAAAATCGAATAAGCGTATAATTCATGATTTTCTTTTATTCAGATCGTGTTTATTTGCAGCATGATTACCAAATCAATATCAGCCCAAAGTCTTGGATTAAAAATTAAACAGTTTGTACGTAAGGGAGGTTTCGTAGCACTGTTAAGGCGTACTACGAAGCAATCAATTGAATATAAACGTGCATATATACATACCTTTTTAAACTGAAGTTATTTTTATAAAGTTACTATATTAAACCCCTGTCACACCGGGACTGCGTCCTCACTGCGATCGCACAGCGTTCATAGAAAAATGCAAAACGTCGAGGTCTCCTACAGCGCCGTGACGACGCGGCGAGATCTCCACTGAACGCGGTAGGGTCGTCTTGAATCTCCAAGAACGCCAGGGAACGGAGCGCACTTTGGGCATGCACAAAGTATGCGCCGTGTGATCGCAGTCTGATAAGAACGCAGTAGAAACGTAGTGTGATCGCCGTAGTAGCGCGGTGAGACGTGCAAAAAAGCAGTAGAAGCTCCATACGCAGGCCGTGAAGACATACATGATCGCAGCATAAACACATGCAGTGATAGTAAACTGCGCTTCCATGGAGACCTCGCGGAGTCCTTGAAGATGTCACTGCGTTTCTATCGCGCTTTCTCGGCGCTTCTTATGAGATTAATCGTCATGTGATTTTTTTGACTGCGATAACACAGCGGCCACAAAGAGTTGTCACTGCGATCATTGCGCTCCCTTGGCGTTTCTACAGCGTCCGTTGACGATCACAATGCGCTTTCACGGCGTTGTTAGAGCGTTGTCAGCCAGCTTACAAAACAAGAGCAATGGCCTCATATTTGATCAGCAATAATTCAATAAATCCAAATAGTATTTTAATTTAGTTTGCATTAATCTCGACGCAAAATGTATCTATCCCCAAAATGTGTTGTTATATTTAGTGTCTTTGTAATTTGCGTCAAGATCGACGCTAAATGTAATAACGGTAATTGTAATTATAAAAAAAAAAACCTTGTTACATTTTGGTTTATAACATTCTCCGTTATTTTCGACGCCAAAAGTTATAACACAAAATATAATGATCCCGCTTAATTACATTTTGTGTTGTCATTACAATTTGCATTGTACATGTTGTAACACTGCTGTTGCTGAAAAGTACAAAGCTCTAGATGGAGAATTTGGTGGACTTCTCTTATATAGTGCATGAGCTAGTCATAATTGCATATGATTTAGTATAAAATGAATTACATGTTAGGTCACAAGTCAGTTTTATGTTAAGGAGCAATAAAAATAGAAATGCCATCTGTTAAAAACAACACATTCGGACATGTCTTTTCACATGCCGGTTTTATTCGATTTATATGCGCGCCAATCGGCATATTTTTTGTGAAAAATTACAATTCTGACACTTTCAAACAAGGCTTCTCTACTTGAAAAAATGTTTTGTTTAACTTCGCTGAATACATGTTTGTAACAATTTTCATACATATCCAAAATTCTTTATTGTATAATGTGATATCATTTAAAAGGTGTACATAATATATGGAGATAAGATACAGTTATCAGGCTCGAAATGTTTTGTTTTTGATTAATACACACGTATATAAAAGTGATTTGTTTTACAGGATATTGTCCGGTATTTACAATAATTGGTGCAAGGATTCTTCATAATTATGCGCGTGAGTGCAAACAACTTTCAAAACCTTGCCCAGAGGATTTTGAATCAAACCATCTTTATAAATGTAAGTAAATCCACATTTTTTTTTTAATGGTATAAGGAACAGTCTATGAATGAACGAGTATCTTTGCCAGACATTGCATAAACTGTTTTAGTTTTAAATGCACTGCGTGTACTGCATAAAATTCTCAAAACACTAGCTTTGAGAGTATGACCAAACTGTCCTCCAAAACATTGGTTAACTTGTATTGTCTTTTGATTATATAAACTCCATGGGGATCCCCGGTGCACGTAGTTAATTATCTGTGCCTTTACCAATGAATCATTGCTTTGTTTACAAACATTTTAATTGGGAATGATGCAGGCGCATTTAATCTAGAAATTTTATTTGCAAACCTTTTTTTCATCTCGACTCATATTTTTGATTTTATGCATCTTTTATATCTCACTTTGCTAATTCTATAGCTCATAGGCCCCGTCTATTTATTTACAAACACAATCATACAGCTTTAATTGTTTTGGGGGTGGGGGATGGGTGGGGTTATTGTTCACTATATTTTCATTAATTTACAGGTTTTTTTTTTCAAAGTTCATGGTTATATTTGTCAGTATTATTTTTGATTCGTGAATACATTGCTTTTGGGTGGGTTAGGCATCAAGACAGATGTATTCAAATCTTGTGTAACGAGATGACAAATTATATATAGTGATTGCTGTTTCTCTTTCTTATGAACCTAGATTATTTTCAATTTTTAGTTTTTGTAAAAATGACATATGATATATCATTTTGACTTAATTTTGTCATATCGCACTTGCAAGTTTAAGCAAAATCAAAATTTAATGATATATTTGAAAGAAAAAATAGTATGCATTATAGAATTCACATTTTTCCAAAGACAGGTGTTTAAATAAATAGAGCAATTGTATAAACATTTCAATGCTAGAATCACAGAGTTCACATGTAACACTTCTTCATATGTTTTGATAAATTACTTTGTCAACACTTTTTTTTTACCTTGTAAAGATCTCATAAACGGAACAAACTGATTTTAGATAAATTGAAATCGATCGGCGATGCAATAGAAAAGCAAGAGTTCTTTCTAAGTATGCAAAACATTGAACCATTTATAATGAATTCCTTCAAAGCCCTTCCTTTCTTTGTTTGTTTTGTTCGTTTGTTTGTTGTTGAACGTTCCTTTCGAGAATTTTTCACTCATATGGAGACGCCACTACTTCCCGGTGGAGGGATGCAAATTTAGACCTATGTTCGGCACTCATGGACATTGAGCAATAGGGGATCTTTTTCATGCCAGCAATTTACAGCGACACAGGACCTCGGTTTATACGGTCTCATCCGATGGACCGGTCTCCAAGTCCCGCAGTAGTATTCGAACCCGCGACGTATGGACCAACTTCTTACACCGCGATTCCAAAGCAAACGCTCTAAGCACTGTGCCAAGCGGGAGACCTCTTTATTTTTAATGCATATCTTCGTATGATCACTAATAATTTTCGTTAAAATTTTGGAATTTTTAATTTATCCTAGAAGTGTGAGTCAAATTAGCGCTGTGGGAATATTTGAAATAATTCGATGCAGTTTTAAACCTATGTATCTTTTGCCAGGAGTTCTTTTCTCACAAAAAAATACAGTATATTAAAGTTAACCATCGTTTATTATAGAAAGCAAACTTTAATGTATCAATGTTTTTTTTGCAAAGTACATCAAAGGTCCATATAGAGATCACTATTATAGAAAACAAAAAGTTTTCTAAATTTTAAAATTGAAGTATTATCTATTATTAATTCAACTTGAATAGTTTTTACAATAATACTGATTACTTTGTATTCAACAGACTATGATTTATCAAAGATTTAATATTAATTTTTACTATAAACAATGAAAGTTGCAAAAAGTGCATTTATTTTATATTCACTCAAAATTCAATACTATTGTCATGGACTTTCAAAGCAGTGACTTTTAATTTGATAACTTTAATGTTTATTTTGTACTTTAATGTTTTTGTTTGTTTGTTTTTTTTTTTTTTTGTGCTACGATTATCGTTCTTTGTTACAATATATAGATGTCGCTTTCTTTTGATTTTAATCACATGATCTTCATGACATGTATATAAATCATGATTTGTGTTGTATTAGTCAGTCTGTTGGCTTGCTTGGTTCTGAATAAGAACATAGTTACTGAATAAGGAAATTAGTGCCAAGAAAGTCCTGAATAAGGCAACATTCCTGAATAAGGTAAGAAAAGAATTATCAATCTGAATAAGGTTACTAATACCGTGCAGTGTGTATGCCATATTTTGATGAATAAATAAAAACTACTACATCTTTTATTTCCAAGAATTAAGATAGCAAAGATAGCAAAACGAACCCCGTAACAAATTGGTGGCAGTGGTTGGATTGGTAACTATCAGGCTTCATATAAAATGGCATCAAGAGGCGAAGACAAAGAAAAACAGAATTGGGGAGACATTGCGAAGCGGCGCACAAGAAGAAAACCAGTGCGCGACTCTGGCATCGAAATTACCTCTGATGTTAGGATGGTGGAAGAAGAGAGTCCTCCAAAGTTGTCATGGGATTATGAGAATCTTTATTTTTCGGACAAGAGACCATATGAAGGTGCTCGTTTGGCTGGAGAAATGCGTTTGCAAAGAGCGCGAGCATGTTGCGCATGCCACAAGATAGTCGGACGCCGAGAGATATCGATCGGGAGGACGTACGCCGGTAATGGATGGATCATACCTGGGTCCAACTACATACGGGGATAATGAATATCCAATCTCAGCAAAGTCAGAGACAAAATCAGGATGAATGACATCTTTTAAATTATCTACCAGTAATCAAAATAAGAAAGATGATGTAACAGTACAGACGAATAGGCAATCAAAAGATATGTTACAGATGATCTAGTAGTGACATTAAATGAAGTTATACGCTTACAAGAAGATTTCAAGAGTGACAGACGCCAAAGCGGTAGAAAAATCGAGTGAAGAGTGTACAGGCAAAGGCATTGCTGCTGAGACAAATGCAAAAACGGTAGAAAGTAATCAAGGTATCAATCGACAGTTGAAACACACAGAAGAGAATCGTGATTCACCGCCAGGCATGTTCAAAGGTGTCCAATTTCGTAGGCCAAAAATAACACCATCAATTTTTGACGGTACATCTCCTTGGATGGATTTCAAGGTTCATTTTGAGTACTGCACAGAACTAAACGAATGGAACGAGAAAGAGAGATGTCTTTTCTTAACAGTAAGTCTAAGAGGCGCAGCACAACAAGTCCTAAGTAATTTGAGCTCGGAAAAGAAGACTAATTACAAAGAGCTTGTTAGTGCACTCGAAAAACGCTTTGCACCACCGAATTTTGAAGAACTACAAGTCTGAGCTGCGAATGAGACAGAGGAGTCCAGGAGAATCACTTTTGGAGCTGGGGCAATCAATTAGACGACTAGTCACCTTGGCTTACCCAAAGGCACCACAAGAGGTGTTAGATACCTTGGCAAAAGACAGCTTTGTGAACTCCCTGACAGAGTCTGAAGTCCGTTTGAAAATTCTGCGCGCACGGCCTGTGACCTTAGATGAAACATTACAGATTGCTGTGGAACTTGATGCGTGTATGAGAGCAGAAGAAAAGAGAACCGGAAAATGGGACAAGATTGTAAGAGAAGTAGATACAGAAGCCTGTAGTAAGCAAAGCATTGACAAAGACACAGAACTAAAGAAACTCAAATCGGAGCTCCAGCAATTGAAGCAGCTTTTGCAACAGCAGATGCAAGGTAGTGGTCAAGTACAACGTAGTAGGGGTGGCAAACGAACATCAAGAAATGACATCGTTTGTTTTACTTGCAATCGAAAGGGGCATATAAGCTGCGAGTGTCCACAGAGAGAAAGACAGAGAAAGACCTATGCTGAGCAAGAGTCAACAGACGAAGTCTGGCCAGTCCCCACTACCAACCTGTAAGATAAGGAGCGGTTGTTTAACATCAATAGACTCTGGACTCTATATCCCGGCCAATGTGAATGGAATAGATGCTAATTTTATAGTAGACTCTGGAGCTTCTGTTACAATAGTATCTTATAAAATATATGATGCTATTCCCTCGGCGAGTCGACCGCAAGCAACACGTCATGCACTCACTTTAGCAGATGGCAAGACATTAGAAACGAAAGGATCGACAATTTTTGAATTTAGAATAGGAGAGAAGATTATAAAACACGAAGCAGTCGTGGCAGCAATTAGAGGATCTGGTATTTTAGGACTGGACGTCAGGATTGAGCATAAATGTATGCTGGACCTTAAGTCAATGACCATGAAGTTCGAATATGAAGTGATTAATGTACATCTGGAACAAAATCTGCAATGTTGTAGAGTTTCTCTTAATGAAACTTCAGTTATACCGGCCAGGAGCGAATGCATCGTTATGGGGAATGTGATAAAACGAGACATCAAGAGACCATTACCATTGTTTGGGATATTGGAACCATGTCAGTCATTTAGTCAGAAGACAAAAACCATGATGGGTAGATCGCTAGTATCCGCAGACGCTGGCGATGGTGTTCCATTGAGGCTCCTAAATTTACATGATGATCCGTTAGTTGTATATAAAGGGACAATTGCAGGGATATTTGAGCCAATAAGAACCACATTACTATCAAATAGTGAAGAGCTAATGCAAGCTACGAGTTTACCTGGCCACATTCAAACCTTGCTAGACGATGCAGAGAATCATTCGCCAAGCCAAAGAGAGCAGACCCAAACTTTCTTGTTAAAGCATGGTAAGCTTTTTGCTGAAAAGGGCGCTGATCAAGGACACACAACCTTGATCACACACAAAATCCATACGGAAAATGAAAAGCCGATTTGTCAGCAGCCAAGACGAGTTCCATTTCATCTAAAGAAAGAAATTGACAACCAAATTGATAACATGCTTACAAACAATATTAACAGACTGTCTTCAAGTCCTTGGGCTAGACCAATCGTACCTGTACGTAAAAAGGATGGAACTCTACGATTCTGTATTGACTTTAGGAGGCTGAACAACGTAACAGTAAAGGATGCGTACCCTTTACCGAGGATTGATGAGTCTTTAGATGCTATTCGGGGATCAAAGTGGTTCTCTACACTGGATATGATGAGCGGGTATTGGCAAATAGAAGTCGACGAGCATGACAAACAGAAGACCGCCTTCACTTCACATAGGTGACTTTTCGAGTTTAACGTAATGCCTCTTAGCTTATGTAATGCGGCAGGAGGAACATTTAAACGACTCATGCAGACTGTCTGCGCTGGTCTGAGATGGGATATCTGTTTGATTTATCTAGACGATATAATCTTATTCATTTCTACATTTGATCAACATTTAGAAGGACTTGACACGGTATTTAAAAGACTCTATGCAGCACGACTTAGACTGAGAAGTAAAAAATGCAGTTTGTTCAAACACAGAGTATCGTACTTGGGTCATATCATAACAGAACAAAGCATAGAAACTGACCCAGGGAAGGTAAAGAGCATAAAAACCAGGCCAACACCAAACAACGTGGGAAATTTACGCAGTTTCCTCGGCTTATGCTCTTACTACAGAAGGTTTGTGAAAGGATTTGCCACCATTGCCAGCCCATTACATAATCTAATGCACAAAAATAAGAAATTCTTATGGACTACAGAGTGTGAAACAGCTTTCCTGGACCTTAAAAGAGCACTTATCACAGCTCCTGTTCTTGTACTGCCAGACTTTTCTGAAACATTTATTTTAGACACGGATGCATGCGGCGCTGGTATTGGCGCCGTTTTAAGTCAATCAAAAGACGGAGCTGAACGAGTAATCTCTTATGGAAGCAGATCCTTAACCAAATCAGAGAAAAAAGTACAGTATCATGCGAAAAGAATTGTGCATTTTATCAAGGCATATAGACCCTACCTATATGGCAGACATTTTGTGCTACGTACAAATCACAGCGCCTTGAAATGGATGTTGAGCTTCAAAGAACCAGAAGGACAGTTAGTCAGATGGCTGGATACGTTATCAGAGTATGACTTTGAGATTTGTCATCGAGCTGGTAGATTGCATGGAAATGCTGACGCACTTTCAAGAATAGATCACGGGCCATGTTGACGAACAAATGGAACACTAGGGTTGCAGCAATCAACCTGGAAACGCCAGAGCATGATATGAAACAACAACAGGCAGACGATTCAGAAATAGCTGAAGTAAAGAAGTGGGTCAAAAATAATAAAAAGCCAGACTGGGACAAAATATCAACATGTAGCATAAGCTTGAAAGCATATTGGGCTCAGTTCGACCAGTTATTAGTTATGGACGGTATTTTGTATAGAAATTGGTACACTAATAAAGGGAAAGTTCAAAAAGAGCAAGCTGTAAAGCCACATTCCCTCAGACCAACGATTATGAAGCATTGTCATGATGCACCATCAGGTGGGCATCTCTGAAGGCAGAAGAATCTCTCAAAAATTAAACAAAAATTTTACTGGCCAGACATGGACAGGGATGTAAGAAAATGGTGTGCATCCTGCTTCAAATGTGCTAAGAGAAAGAAATATGGTAAAACGCCGCTTGCACCAATGAAAATAACAGGAGTCGGTGAGCCTTGAGAAAGAGTTGCCATGGATATTTTAGGGCCTGTGCCCACATCAATCAAAGGAAATAAATACATTTTGGTGGTTGAAGATTACTTCACCAAATGGGCAGAAGCTGTCCCACTTCTGGATATGGATGCACAGAGTGTAGCTCGAGCCTTCATTGACAACTTTGTCACTAAATTTGGTGTACTTAGAACGCTACATACCAACCAAGGACGTCAACTCGAGATTATTCCAACAACTGTGTGAAGTACTTGAAATCAACAAGACACGATCGACCCCATACCATCCACAATCAGATGGTATGGTCGAACGCATGAATCGTACACTTGAGAATATGATTGCTGCGTACGTCGACTCCAATCAGAAAAACTGGGATGATCATCTGCAATTAGTTTACATGGCATATAGGGCTGCAGAACACGAAAGTTCCGGATTTACACCAAACTATTTAACGTTTGGTCGAGAAATTGTACTTCCTGTGGAACTCCTGGCTGGACTGCCAGCTAAGAAGAAATCAACGGAGCAATATATAAATCATCTTGAACATTCACTGGCATTGGCACATGAAATAGCTAGAAAGAATTTGGGTGACAGTTTGAAACGACAGAAACTCAGATATGATTCTATGCTCTCTTGGAAGAAGTTTGACGTTGGCAGCAAAATATGGTTGTATACACCAAGACGAATTAAAAGTATTTCACCGAAGTTTCAGATGTGGTGGACAGGGCCATACATAGTTCTAAAGAAATTCAGCGATGTTACATATCAGATAGTCAAGGGCAAAGAGTATCTCGTTGTTCATGTCGACAGGTTAAAGCCTTACACTAGTCGTGAGGAAATTCTTGAGAGTCAAGAAGCTACACGTCAAAAGTACGTGAAATAAGAGGCTACTGTCACACCATACGTTTCAGACAATATTATTGACCCTATTACTGCTCCGTTCATTGAGTACAACACAGGGACCGTCAACGGCAACGACGCTGCAGTTTCGGAAGATCAAAAGATACACCGCGAAACGACCACCCGATCTAAAAGGCGTTGCCGACAGCCCAGGCACTTTGAAAATTTTCAACTGTATCATGTGACAGAATTAGACAAAACATCAAAGAAAGAGCAGTCCGCTCCTTCTCATTTGCAGTCTTGCAATCGGATGGCGAGGACAAAGAATACAGTAAGAAAAGTAACCGTTATGCATAAATGTCCACAAGAAGTTTTAGAGCATATTGGCCAAAAGCACGACAAAAGAAACAAATGTGACCACTGTGAGTATACCTCAGAGAGAACTGCTGATATGAAGATACATTATAACCGCCGACATTCTGCACACGCCGACCAGGAGAAACCGAAGCAGAATCCTGAGGAGGACTGTACAACCCGGCGCCGCACTCAGCCGATGCCTGTCTTTAACCCTAAGAGAGACAAACCAGCGACACACAGCCATGGACAGACATCTGTAAGTTGTCAAGCGGGGACAGGATTCCTACATAACGATGCCGCCGAGAGACACCGAACGTGTGTGATGCGTTTACCCAGTGCAATGGAGTTGTCGTTAGGAAAAGGCGAATTTCGGAGACTGAATGGACCGAATTCGATTGACTTTATGGAACATTCAGTGACAATGTGAACATTTCATTAACTTTTTTAAAATGTGCAAATATTTTTATTTATTTTCGCGATTCGGGACGAATCTCTAGGAGGCGTGGGTTGTGTTATGGACTTTCAAAGCAGTGACTTTTAATTTGATAACTTTGATGTTTATTTTGTACTTTAATGTTTTTTTGTGCTACGATTATCGTTCTTTGTTAGAATGTATAGAATCCGCTTTCTTTTGATTTTAAACACGTGATCTTCGTTACATGTATATAAATTATGATTTGTGTTGTATTAATCAGTCTGTTGGCTTGCTTGGTTCTGAATAAGAACATAGTTACTGAATAAGGAAATTAGTGCCAAGAAAGTCCTGAATAAGGCAACATTCCTGAATAATGAAAGAAAACAATTATCAACCTGAATAAGGTTACTAATACCGTGCAGTGCGTATGCCATATTTTGATGAATGATAGACTTCAAATAAATTATATAAAAACTACTACATCTTTTATTTCCAAGAATTAAGAGAGCAAAACGAACCCCGTAACACTCTACCCTACTATACCCAAAATTCAATACTATACCCTACATTAAATGAAAGTATTTACCCTGACACTTAAAAAGCTGAAGTTTTCTATACGATCTACTTATCATGGTGCAAAAACCAGGAATTCTAATGCATAATAAATATATTTATAATTGAAACCTATTTATAGTCTATAAACGCGTAAATGAACTTCTAAAGATTCCTTTTATTTCCACTTCAGATCCAGAGTGTTTAGATATACCTAAAACACCTTCCTTGACCTCCACTCCTCAGACTTCTAGCTCTGAAAGTATGCACATTACAAGGATCAGGTGGGATATGAATGATATTTATCATTTCTTTTTCTTCACATAAACCGGATTATTTACATTTTGTTAATTTTTTTAGTGTAAGGATATGCATTTTATGATTCTGATTATTTAATTTATACTTTCAGATCATCACTTTCGCTGTTTGTTTTAGAGATAAAGATCCTATTTTTTTCTTTCTGCCTGATTTAATTAATGCATGTATGTAGATTATATATGTTTACTATATAATTATATGTAGTGATTATTTCGGAGGGTAAGTTACAATTGACACCTCGAGAGAAAACCATGGACAACAGTGTTGTTTAAAGGGTGTCAATTTCAACTGCTACCCATAAAAAATGCATTATTTATTTCATCATACTGGATGACTGATTTATATATAAGTTGGAAACTGTTATTCGTAATTGGATATTGTTTTTAACGAGACGTTTCAGGCTTTTAAACTCCTTGCTAACGTTTTATCGTTAAGAAATTTCCAAATATGATTTCCTGACCTCGGAATGTTCATTTGATGCTTATGATACCAACACAAAAAAAAACTGTTAAGAGGCAAAGAGAACAATTAACACATTCTGCTTTCTTTTCTCTGTTCTTTTCAGAACTATGTTTTTTAAAATATGTTTAAAATTGAAATACATGCCCTCCCCCACAAAAAAAAAAAAAATCTTTCTAACCGAGAGTAAAACATCTACGCCTACTTCTGTCCTGTATGGAACAAATGCCAAATTAGACATTATGCAGATCTCTTTTTAAGGTATGATTTCAAGCACTGAGTGCAGTACTATCCTTTTAATTTAAATGTTGGCAAAAGGTACATACTTGTGTTACTGCTTCTCCAATATTTTTGTTACTGTTACATGTATATTTTTTTTTATTTTATCATATTAGTCCGTTTCATGTGAATAGAACCTAGATTTTTTAAATGTTTCACCTTGTCTTATTTTAAATCATGTAATAAACCATAACGATACTGTAAATATATATTTAGCGTGTATGGATATTTCCCGGAAATTAATTTTAGGGCGTAGATTTTATTTTGAGCCTTTTTTCATGTCCTAATTTATGCGTATAATTTTGTGCTTACATGTGGCACTGCTACATTTTAATATTATAAATAGGGCTTTTCGTTTCCAGGCAAAAATCCCTAATGTTTTCGTCTTGTTTTATTATTATTTTTTGTCTTAGCTTTTTTTTTGGGGGGGGGGGGGGATTTAACTGAAACCTTTAAATATAGTGATTAAACCTCATAGCCATTAAACAGCAAATGCCAATGTCTGGTATATGTTAGGTTTTGTTTTTCTGGTTGTGTCACTTCCGGTTTTTATAAGCAAAAGACTGAAATTTATATAGGAGCTAAATTATTCTTTATTTACGTACAAATTATCCCAAATCTTAGGAACCGATTCTTGAAAGGAAAACCAACAAAAATTTTTATGGCGGCGTTTTTGTACCTCAAACACTTTTGTGTGTTACAGGACTCAAAACATAAAAGAAGGGAGAGGATGGAACAAATTGCGAAGTAATTCTAAAATTTACTTAAGGTATACACTGATTAGCAGAAAAGGCATTGAATGTTTCATATCAATCTGAGCAGTACTCCGCTTTTATGTGACTTCGAAAATTTGACTATGGAAGTTTCTATGTTAAATTGAAACCCTAAATGTCACATTTTCTCTCAAAAGTGAACAAGATATTGCTGTGAAATTTAAAGTATATAATGACTGTGACATTTTTTCCCGATTTATAGGGGTTTTGAAAGTAAAAGTTAGAAAAAAGGGTGAGGGTGTTTTCAAAGGGCAAATGCTGAAAACAGACCTTTCCCTATAACTCTTTTTTTTATTTTTCAATGAAATTTCAAATAGTTTTCGATTCTAGGTAAAGCTTAAAGAGTGGAATCTAATAAAGTACGGTCAGTGGGGTCACCTTTTGACACCGTGATGACATTTAGGAAGACTGTCAAAATAATCATGCGAGAGTTATCTCTCTTTGCACAATTGTTCAACGGCATGCATACTCTTAATACATCTCAATTATTTTATTAATCTGTTAAGTACTTCCGGTTTTATTACTCTTTGAATATTGCCAGTGGAAGTCCCCAAGTTTAAATCAAAATCACTCCTGTCCTGTTTTCTTTAAAAGTGCACAAGGTGCCCTTGTGAAACTTTACATGTACAGTAAAACATGCTTACAGGGAACACACTTATAATGAATTTACGATAATAGCGAAGTTATTTTCATTCCACATGGTTTGAAAATATAATTTGAACTTAAAGGATATAACGAACTGCATTTATAACGAAGCAAAATTGTCTATCCTTGGCACTTCGCTATAAGCGTCTTTTTCTATAGAATGACTTGTGATACTGTCCCAACATGATATGGTTCTGAAAATGAAAATTTATAAATTAGGGATCTCTAGATGTCAGAGTTGAAAACAGACCTTTACTTGTAACTGTTTTATTTCTCAACCACTTTTTAATCCGTTTTTGGTTTTGAATTTAACGAGAAGAGTACAATGTAAAAATATTGGTCCGTGGGGTCACTTTTTGACCTCTTATATGAGGTTTTGAGGACTGAAATAGAGTGCTTTTACTTATTTTCTGAAATAATCAGAGTTTGATCCTGAAAGATCTGTTGACAACAATTTACATGAATGCAATATAATCGTATATACAATCATATTTACTGTATCTATTTTAATGGTTTTTATATTAGTATTTTTGACTATACAAGTCAGTTTTTCCTGGACGATATTAGAATTATTTTATGAATTCAAATAAATTATTTAACCATTGAAGTTGCTGTTATTGTGTTTTACTCTCGGTCATGTCATGACATGTGAGTTTATGTAAATGAACCTTCAGATTATGAGCGACTTCTGAGAAATTTTCAATACGTAATATTCAATATTCCTTTTTCTGAGATCGGGGATACCGATCTCTTATTTCCAACTCCTCCATCACAAATGAATAAAATTTAATAAGACTTTCACAGAATTTCTTTTAACAGTGTCATTGTACATCTCTTATTTTACTTTTTAATTGGGCACAAATCTTGGTCTCCCATAGCAAAACATAGAAACTGTCATTCTTTCTATAATATCAGGGGTACCCATTTTTATCCGCAAATCCTTCTGTACCACAACATAAAATTTAATGATACTTTCACAAAATCTTTATTACATAGTGGCATTGTGTACCTCCTACTTCATGTTTTGATCGGACAAATGTTTGCTCTTTTCCATAGCAACAAATTGACTTTGCAGATATATTCATATGGTAGAGAGAGGTATGATTTTGTGAGCTCAGCTCAGAGTACCTTTTATTTCTATTATTTTTTTAAAAAATAAAATCGCAACAAGAAGGTCTTTCGTCCCTCCTCTGTCATCAGGGAAGCTGATTCCTCACAAAGCAACCTTAGTTATGTTTTGTATTAAACTGGAACGTGGCCACACCTCTCGAACAAAATAAAAATATACTTTATTTATTCATATTTTAATACTTTTTTCAATGGTATAAATTTTATTTTGTATGAAGGGTGTGGCCAGAACAAAAATTTGAACCAAAGACGAAAAAATGCTTTATTTTGATAAAAACTATTAAAGTGCACATGTTTAGTCGTTTTCTGTACAAATATGACGTCATCAAATAAAAAAAAAAATGCATAAACTATTTAAGTACCAGTCCATATAAAAATCAGACAAAATGGGTATAAAGGTGATACATGAAGGTTCTCAGAATTTAATGATTTTCCACACATAGATTTCTCTTGCACTATGATCCATGTATGTAAAATAAAAAAAATGTTTTGGTTCATGGTTAGTATGGAAACCGGGCGAAAGAAATTTCCCTAGCAACCGGCCACTTTTTCCAAGTGGTAGGATGAAAAGTCACTTATCATTTAAGACTTGAAATGAAATGTGAATATGAATAAAATTATTCCTCTTTACTGGTATAATAATGATACACATTTTAAGTGTTTTAACAACCCAACACATAGATATCAGATATAAAGATAGTTTTGTGATAGACATTGGAAGATATACATGTTTTGCAGTTTTTGCTGATTCAGCATTTTTCTTGATTGTGGCAATATTCAAGGCCAAATTAAAATTTGCATCTAAAAATTACAGCTTCTGCATGCATTTCACGTAAAAGTAAAGGAATTACCCTGTTGAAATCCGAATTCAAACACGTGGGTTTTTTGAAAATATGTGCCATTGCCTAGCAACAAAAATGGATGTTTTGATAAATAAACAGTGAATAATTGTAAAGTGTTACAAAAAAATATTGCATAAATTGATATCTTAGAGTACCAGAAATAAATTTTAAAGTGACAGAATATAAATCAGACTTCTTAGCAAACTAACGACTATTGTACAATTACTTATCTCCATGGCAACAGCAAATTCCCCATAGCAACAAGGCGGCAAAGCTTACTTTTGGTAGATGTTCATGTACAGTAGGAAGAAATGTTTCAAATTTAGTCCTAAAATTGCATGTTAGCAAAATTAAAAATGCATTATGGACCTCATTAAAGTATTTTTGTTACATAAATTTCCCCATGGAAACGATTTTGAGCACATAACAACCACTTACACTGAGTGTTTGAAAGATTCATTCTCTGTAATTACTTCGACTCTTATTTATGAGCGGGGAAGTACATAGTCACGGAATTTCTTCAAACTTGCTATATGTGTTGTCAAAGAATTTAATACCATTAACTCATATAAGGCAAAAACGTGTTGCTATGTAACATGATTAACATGGCAACGTGCCCTGAATTTTGAAAAATGAAATCTATAAACATGTTCAGAGTTCCATTATTAATGTGTACAGCAATTCAGAAAAGTGGCAATGACTGTGTCCAAAAGTCAAAAGCTTGCTGTCTTGTATGCAAATGAACAGTGTAATTTTGATCTTATGAAAGTATTTTTATATTAACATATCCCATGGCAACAATTTTGAACACATACATGTAACAACTTAGATAAAGATTTAAAGCAATTTTTTATTTAACCATTGTCTTGAAGAAGAGTAAAAG